ATCCTTTGGGGATGAGCAACAACAAGACTTCCTTATAAGCGTTGTCTCCTCCCCACTTCTTCATGGGCAGATTCATTTGCCGAGCATGAATGGTATACATTACTTCCTGAAATTCTGAAACATATAATTGTTCATATTATAACTAATCTGTTCTAAAGTACATCTGATAAGCAAATTAGATTAAATTTCCTCACCTGAGAATCGGTTTCACTGACGAACTCTTTGATTATCTCTTTGAGCCAAATGGCATTGACATCAGATTCCTCTGACAGCTGGACAACATCGACAAGGTCCTTATTGCATCTGACATGAAAAGGTGTTGCTGTGGGTTCAGGATCATCGTATATGAAGGCAAGACCTCCGGACATACCGGCAGCAAAATTGTTGCCCGTCTGGCCGAGAATAACAACGCGCCCACCAGTCATATACTCACAACCATGATCTCCGATTCCCTCGACGACAGCCATTGCACCAGAATTTCGAACACAAAATCGCTCGGCGGCCTGGCCGCGGATAAAAAGGGTGCCTGAAATAGCACCATAAAGACAAGCATTGCCTACCACTATATTTGCTTCTGAGATGAAGCCACTAGCCAGCAGGTCTACAGGAGGGACTACTGTTACCCGACCACCCGATAATCCTTTACATACGTAGTCGTTACTATCGCCATCAAGACGGACACTAACTCCGTGGACAAGAAAAGCACAGAAGCTTTGGCCAGCATGACCCGTAAGGTAAATCTGTAATTAAATCAAAAATAAAGTTGTCAAAAGGAGGATGTATAGTTAAGTGTAATAAAACTGGTAAATTTATACTTACTTATTCCAATTAAATTTGGAGCTGGTTTTTATATGTAAAAAGTTGGGATATTAATTAGCAAGGCTGACCTGATTAAGAAAATATTACGAAGTTATATAAAGAATAATAGATAAATAACTAATTAACAAATAATAAATGAGGGGTATAAATTAGCTAGATAATATAGGATATAAAGTGCCAACTATAAAAACTACAGATTGAATTAATTTCGTAGTTCAATCTTGCCACGTGACCTGAGCTGTTGTAGGCGTTATTGCATCCCCCCTGGATTTTGCAGCTTAATGAGCAATCGCCATTCCAACAAGGTTAATTATATATTACATCAAACTTCACTAGAAAATTATAGAAGATTAATAAAAGCGAGAGGAACAAATTGCTCATATTTTACGATATTAAGTTTAGGCTCGGACATAATCAAATGGGATGCTTATGCATGGGAATTTTGGAAATTGCAAATGATGACATACAACATTTCGAATGAGGCCTAAGACTTTATGAGTAGAAGGCCCTAGGAGAACACAGGACTAGGTACATTCCACAAGGTTCT